AATAGTGTTTGCCTATGTACATTACAGGAAGAACACTGACAACTCCTAATTTCATAGCAAATTTCAGATGCCTTCTAAAAAGCATTTATGAATCTTCTGCTAAACTCACCAATTCTTTGGAATCTGAATTTCTATACATTTTAATCTCTGCATTACAGTAAAGGCAGATAAAATTACTAATTTCAAGCAATTTTTTTACAATTAAAATCATGTATATGAAACTTTGTAACACAATGCTGGCAAGTCTGGTTTGCAGTTAAAACCCTTTAAATTTGTTGATATTTATCTAGTACAAATATACCTAAACACTGCAGATCACCTCATCTGTTAAAACTAAGTTCCAAAAAACATTGGGGTTGAAGTTCTTTCTAGTTTGTTGTCAGTGACTTGTTATGTTTCATTAGAATAAAAACCATACACAATTATTTCAATTTTGAAAAAAGCTACTGAGTAGTAAATGGTCAAAATCAATACTGGTTGATACATTTGCAAGACCCTTTGCTTTGCTTTGAAGTTCATCAGTCTGATGGATATGGAGAATCTGTTAGAATCTTAATGTTAGGCTGTAAGAATGAGTGTGGATATCAGACATACCACAAAGCTCCAATTCTGCATTAGAAAAAGACCAAAAGAATTGTAGGACTAAGAATCATGAGTTAGAATTCTGGATTTGCCATTTGCTATTGACTGGTATTGGCTAAGTCATTTTTCTGTCTGTAGCTTGTGGAGCCCCTGGTGGTCTAGTGGTAAGGGCGCGGCGCTGTCACTGCCGAGACCCGGGTTCGATTCCCGGTCAGGGCCACTCCCGGGCAGATGGAGCTCGTTAGCCCTTAAAGGCAACCCATCTACGTCCTGAGGACTTCGCTGCCACCGTCCAAGCTCGCTTGGCCCCGGCAGATGAACCTTAGGATTAAAGGGTGGGCTCAGTTCCGCGCACACTGTGTCTCACCTAAAAAATCCAATGCGCTGGCTGGAAGGTGTAAAGACCTTTCCCGGATCTTCGCTCGCGAAGAATGGCCATTTATAGCTTGCTTAAAATGTACACAATGAAATTTGTATCCACCTTTATTTTACAATAATGTTTTACAAAACTTTGATTCAGAACGTACTATGCAACTGTGAGTGTTATTGCAGGCTCTACCAGTGCAGAAACTCTGTCACTCATTTCAATACCACAGCTTCAACCATTTTGCTTATATACTGTTCTAACATGAGGAAAAAGTGTGGATTTCCACCAAATCAGTACATTTAGAGCATGATACATATCCAGTAATACCTTGGAAACGTGTACATATATGAATACAAGAGTCAGGGAGATAAGCTAATAGTTCTAGTACAGATAGTATAGCTACTGTTGTCAGAATTAATTTTTGACTTATCTCCAAAAAAAGTAGATAATGTACTATGAAAACACTGGACACAGAATTAAGAAGACATTGCATAACTTTTACAGTTAATATAATATACCAACAAAGGGATAACTCAGGGTTCATATTTGAGGACTTAGTGTACGTCCTTCTGAAAGGAAAATTTCATAAAAACAAAGGTTTTATTCTCACCCAAAGTATTTTTATTTCATTTATGTGTTCCTGAGGCTCTTTCCAGAAGTGATTTTTCATAGCATAAATTCATCTTACAGAATAGAATCACCACCAGTTAACATAGAATAATTTAGGTTGGAAGAGACCTCTAGAAATCATGTAGTCAGCTCTGCTGCTCAGTAGAGGTCAATTCAAACTTGTTACTCATCATTTGTTATACACATCATCACTTTGACTAATTCATGGCTAACTTTGAGATCCATCTGAACCACCAGGAACAAATCTTAGAGTTCTTCTTTTCATCTAATGCAAGAACTGGGGCTTTTTCTGTATCCAGGTTACACTTTGTGAACTCCAGTTTCAAAAACATTGAGCAGTTATTCCTGTTAATTATTAGGATCATTTAAATAAGAGATAATTGAGAAGAATGAGTACTGTACAGATATTGAAATGCTTTACATAGTTTGTCAGATGGTCTTTAAAAGCATAGATAGTTTTTACCATGCCAGAAACATTGCTTTGAAAAAGAAAAAAACCTTATAGCAAAAGTACATCGATGTGACAGGAAGAAATATTATTTTCTCTACTCCGGAGTCAAACATGTAAGATAATTTCAAGGCTTATCTTAAAAGTAAAGCTTAATTGTCAGCAAAGATAGCAAAACATTTTAAATGCAGAACATATTTGTTTATAATGTTAGTAGTCAATGTATGATAGTGGTTAACACTAGTTTAATACTAACTTATTAGTGTAATTAATAGTCTAGTATGAGCTTATTCAAGGCAATTACATCATTCAATTAATTTTAGACAGAAGATGTAGGGGTGCCAGTAAATGAAGCAGCAAAGGTCAAATTTATAGGTTTTCTGAAAGTGCATTTTGGATTATATATCCAATTTGGATTATATATACGTTTCTAAATAATAGCTGTATACATAGGTCAGACTGAAAACAAGGCAAACTCATAATTAATTACTAATTAACTACTTTCTTTCTTTCTAAGACATCAAAAAAATGAAGCTGATACCTGACTGAGAGATGGTGCAACTTCTAGTAAAGCTAAAGTGAATGATGAGGAATGTATGACTTTCTAAATAGTCTAAAGTACCCATATGCATAATCAGATATACTTAATTCTTTCTCTTTGTTTTTTTTCATTTCTTCTCCTACAGAAAAAACAGGTAATTTAGTATGCCACTTAGACAGTTAACATGATGTTTACTGAGGAGCTAAAGCTTCAAAGAACAGGCAATAGATTAACTTCTGTTGTCTATCAGCACATACTTGTTACTTTATCATACATTCTAGGGTATCACTTTAGTTAGCCTTATTTGCAGCTCCCTGTGCAACTGTAGAATACCATGCAGCCAGAGGTGAGCTTAGGGGTAAAATAATGTTTTTAAACATAACCATTATAACTTCTTTGAACTGCTATTTGCACTCATTTGGGAAATAACTGGTGGGGTAATAAAAGGGCTTTGGAACTGATGTGAACTTTTCAAGACATAGTCCTCTGCTCAGCTACATGAGAACTACAGGTTTTTAGCCAGGGTTAGTGTAGTTAACTCTTCTACTTTTTAGTTTTCTAGAAGGAGGAAGGAATGTGCATAGAGTCACATTATTCTTTCTATGCTTTATTATCATCAAACTTTTTCTTTATTCTTCTCCATTTCATACCTTTTAGCTAATTTTTTTTCTTGTATGTCTTTCTGTTCTCACCTGTTCTGTTTCTCTAGTCAGTTGGCATTGCTATTTGTGTTAAATGACACTACTATCTTATATTTTAACTGTGAAATTTTACAAAATTACTGCTGCTGTTTTCCATAAGGGCTTTTGTCCCTTGAATTGTTAAAAAACAATTCTTATTTCTAAGGCAGACAGTAAAAGTACAAAATTCTGCACATAACCATAATTTAAGATTTAATTATAAAATAGATTCAAAATTCACTGAGGTCAAAGTTACTTTTGTGGTGATATGTGCTGATGTCTTTTGTGTGCTTTGTACAAGCTTTATGACTTATCTTTTCATCAACTTACCATCTAGAGAGCACATTTTGTAATTTAGTGAGGTGATCACATTATCAGTAATAAATATGTGACGATGAAGTGTTAGTGTATCAGATAGTGAAATTATTGTACCTTTTGCATAATCTATTTCTTGTGCAAGTATGTAGTGCTAAAATAATTTCATTTTAGTGTAATGTGTGATGAAAACAGTATCTAGAGTTTTGGGGCTTTTTTTTCTTCCCACTAACTCGTTTGAGCTCTTGGTAGGTCCAGAATTTTTAAGTATTATTTGGAGAATACTCAAAATATGTTCAGTCAACATTGGAACAAATGAAATGATTTTCACTATTTGAAGAATACAACAAGCAAACATGAAACCTTTTGAGATCTTACAGACCTTTGGAGTTTGGTGTACAATAGATAATTGCCTTATTGCAACGTTCATTGGTGTGACTGACTGACTGACCTTAGGGTTCCTGTTTCAGTATGCACTGTTGATTATACACAGAACGATTCCTGCAAGGGTTATGTATCTTATAGCCTGTTTTGCTGCAACTAAGCAACAGCTTTTTGGCATAGATGCATCATGTCTATAACTTTTGCACACACATTCTCAAATTACTTGCATCACAGAAAATTGCTGCTAAATCATGGTGGAACCCCATGCACAGCAGTGCACAACCAGATCTTTAACACCTACTCATCTGGATCACTTTTAGTTTGTTTTCTCTTGTATTTCAAATGTGTTATGCCTTACAGGGTATGATCTATGGACATTTAAGTATTGTCATCTTCTGTTTCATACCGACAGACCCTGTAGCTTAAAGAGAGGTACTCATGCTGCTCCTCCACTATACTACACATAAGCACCTAGTGTTAATTTTATTCAGTTATTTTGAACATTATTATTTTTCAGATGTTGTTTTGCACTCTGCTTTGCAGATGAGCACGATTGCACTTCCCCTCCATGATTCAGAGGAGGAAGCCAATATGTCAGAGCAACGTTCTGCCGATGTTCACAGGCACCTGTCAATGTCTCTCTCCAGCTGCCTACACACTGTGCATCTGATGCTCTGTATACATCTTAGAGAAGTGGATAGATGCTGAAATTGCATAATGGAGTGTATGGAATGACTTGGAGATACAGGTGCAGAGTGATCTTCTACCTTTCAACTTCTTCCACCATTCTCAGTTAGACCTGAGACACCTTTTCCACTCCTCTCTGTCAGGATATGCACATATGCATTTAATATCTTCTAAATATTTTCTTGTCAAGTTAAGAGCTTATAATAGACATTTAAAAAAAGATAAAACATTTAGCACAGGGAGAAGCTTTGAAATATCCCCTGTATCCCCTTTTTCAGCTTTGAAATATCCCCTGTATACTTTTCCCATTCCAGAAGATTTCATATCCTTGAAAAGATAATTGTGCAGGTAAGACACAGAGACTGATCACTTGGTATGTTTTTCAAACTTAGCCTTCCTCTTTTGCTGTTGCAAGTAGAGAAATAAAATATGTTTGTGACTCAGAAATTAAGTAAAGGTAAGATTTCAGCCAAACCAGAAATTAGTTGATCTCAAACTTCCTCCTCTTTGTAGGAGTGTGGGCACTTAGGCAACAGAAAGGTAGACAAGTTACTTTTCCTGTAAATATGACACCCTGAAGTAAAAGTTTTTGTCCTCATTGGGTTCTTTGTTTTCCAGCTTACAAATATCAAGTGAGTCGTCATTCACATGCAGATAGTAACTTCTGTCTTCATAGCATTGGAACTGTACTGAATCTCCTTGGTAATGCATGATGAAAAAGTTATTATCGTCATTCAGCTGTGAAAATATACAAGGTAAAGAACACGTTATATTTTTAAAGCCTTTCTATAGGGTTTCGTGTGACAAAAGTTCATGTATGTTGCTGGTTTGTTGTATTTTGGATGCTTTTGTCCAGTGACACATATTTACCAATTTTTAAATAAATCTTTGACAACACCTAATCATTTTGGGACAGATTCTGTGATAACTATGAATAAAATAATACCCATCTCCCTCAGAGCACTGAGTAAGCACAGACTCATAGCTTCACTTTTTTTCTTCACAGAAAGATTAGCACAGTTTTGCCAGTATCATTAGGATAATTTGGGATTTTCATCTCGTTATTTTTTTATCTTAGACATGCCCTGTCAACTGCCTCTTTTGAAGTAAAACTAGAATGTTACAGTAGAAATTACTCTTTAACAACTGTTCTATTACCTGTGATTTTTCCATATGTCTCATTTCCAATGTGCTTTTTTTAAGATCCATCTCTGAGGCAATAGCTATGGTCCAAACAGCTCCTCTGTGTGTGTGGTATCTAGCCTCTTCAGGCACCTTAGGCTAAGGACTGAGAAATAGTCCTTACCAGAACACATCATGCCAGAGAGAGGAAGAGTGTGTGCTAAAAGGTAGCCTTGGAAACCATAAGACCTGGAGACTAGAAGCACTGTTAAATCTGCGAAACCTGGTAAGCTTGTGGTAGGAGCTGCTGAACCTGCGCATGTCCTCCAGCACACACTGGCACCTACCACGGGCCATGTAACCCACACCACGTCCAAGAAGGCAGCAGCTGCTGTAAGTGGGCAAGGATTACAGGGCAGTACATGTGATCACAGCTGCTGGAACGAGGAACCCTTGTGCAACTGTGCACAACTGCCTGGAACCCCCTGGAGAGTGTGGGCATGAGACCTGCTCCTGACTGTGTACACTGAGTGAAGGAGTAACTGAGAAGACTGTGTGAATAGTTATTTGCTGCTAATCATAAGACCCTGCTGGCAATAGTAAGACCTTAATTAACATAAAATTGAGATTTGTATTTCCAGCAGCTCGGCCTCCTATCAGGGAATATATATCTTTTGGGAAAGACTGAATGCATCATAATCTAATTATTTCAACTTTCCCTTTGAGTGACCTCTTTGACTATCATCCTATCCAAAAGACAGTTCTGTAACTCTTACAGGTCTAGTGCATTATCACACAGCACCTACAGGATGGACAAAGGATCAGATCCACCCAGCGTGGGTTTAAGAAGAACAGGTCTTGCCTGAGCAACCTGATCTCCTTTTATGATCAGGTGACCCACCTGGTGGATGAGGGGAAGGCTGTGCATGTGTCTATCTGGACTTCAGCAAAGCCTTTGACACTGTCTCCCACAACGTACTCCTGGAAAAGCTGCAGCCCCATGGACAGGGGCACTCTGTGCTGGGTCAGGAACTGGCTGGAGGGCCGGGCCCAGAGGGTGCTGGTGAACGGGGCTGCATCCAGTTGGTGGCCCATCACTAATGGTGTCCCCCAGGGATCAGTGTTGGGTCCAGTTCTGTTTAACATCTTTATTGATGATCTGGATGAGGGGATTGAGTCCATATTTAGTAAATTTGCAGACGACACCAAGTTGGGAGGGAGTGTCGACCTGCTGGAAGGCAGGAGGGCTCTGCAGAGGGACCTGGACAGACTGGAGAATTGGGCTGATTCCAATGGGATGAAGTTCAACAAGGCCAACTGCCAGGTCCTGCACTTTGGCCACAACAACCCCCTGCAGCTCTACAGGCTGGGCACAGAGTGGCTGGAGAGCAGCCAGGTGGAAAGGGACCTGGGGGTGCTGATTGACAGGAGGTTGAACATGAGCCAGCGGTGTACCCAGGTGGCCAAGAAGGCCAATGGCATCCTGGCCTGGATTAGGAACAGTGTGGCCAGCAGGAGCAGGGAAGTGATCCTACAATTGGGAACAAATCATGTCAAAAAGCAGTGAAATGTGACACACTGTACTCAGCGCTGGTGAGGCCACACCTGGAGTGCTGTGTCCAGTTCTGGGCCCCTCAGTTCAGGAAGGATATTGAGGTGTTGGAGCAGGTCCAGAGAAGAGCAAGGAGGCTGGTGAAGCGACTTGAGCACAAGTCCTGTGAGGAGAGGTTGAGGGAGCTGGGGTTGTTTAGTCTGGAGAAGAGGAGGCTCAGGGGAGACCTCACCACTCTCTACAACTCCCTGAAGGGAGGTTGTAGCCAGATGGGGATTGGTCTCTTCTCCCAGGCAACTATCAGTAAGACAAGAGGGCATAGTCTTAAGCTCTGCCAGTGGAGATTTAAGTTGTATATTAGGAAGAAATTCTTTACAGAGAGAGTGATCAAACAGTGGAATGGGCTGCCCAGGGAAGTGTTGGATTCTCCATCCCTGGAGGTTTCTAAGATGAGACTGGATGTGGCACTTAGCGCCATAGTGTAGTAACCATGGCAGTGTTGGATCAAGATCTGGACTCTTAAGGTCCTTTCCAACCCAGCTGATTCTATGCTTCTATGATTCTATTCTGTGATTCTATGATCATTGCTTAAGAGGACCTCCAAAAGGAAACTAAATGCCTGGAGAAAAGCAAGAGAATATTAAAGCATCACAGCTACATTTGAAATTACAGCATTGGCAACAACAACCTTTCCATGGAAGGAGCAATGTATCCTTTCAGCCCGTAGGACAAAAGCGGATGGAAAGAAAATGTCCTGCAGTTATGGCAGACTACCTGAAAGAAACTTGAGATACACCTTCTATACCAGCAAAGCTATAATGGGAAGCAGCTAAAACATTCTGTCGTGATAGAGTCCATGTAACAACAGTGTATCTGCAGCTTCAAACCAAAAAGTATGTTTTAAATAATACTGTTAAGAAAGTTGAAGAAAATTTGTCTTTAGCAAGGAAGTACCTTCTAGGGACTCAGAATGGATATAAGGAAACATATATGGAATAAGACAGTTTAAGGAAAGAAAATCTGCAGAAGGAAGGAGAGAGATTCATATGCACAATGCAGAAATTCATTCCAGAGGGAGGGAGACTCCATTGGTATCTGCTGAATGTGAACCCAAAATTACATGCTACCCAAAGGAGATTGAGATACAAAAAATAAACAATGCCTACTGTAACAGCATGAAATGATGGAAAATTAGATGGAGAACTGCAACAGGAAAATTATTTGGTGAATGACATTATGTGACTAGGAGAAGAAAGAGGAACTGGGAGTAGAAGCATAATGAAACACTGTTAGGACTGGGAGTTGCAGCAGGTCATTAGAAAACAAATTGTTTTGCAAGCAGTCGTGACACAGGTAATTTTCTATTGTGGCCTGTAAAGAAGGATGTTGGAGAATGCAGTCAATTACTGCTCAAGTTCTTCCTGACGACAGCTTCTACAGCAGCAGGGATGCCTGAGAGGTTATTTGGAAATTCCAAGAAAAGAATTGCTGCTTTTCAGCTACAATATGACCATTTGTTTTCCATTTCATTAAATGAAGAACCAATTTGCAGGTTGGGTTTTACATTTAGTGTCAAAAAATACACCTTTTCTTATGTCCCACGGGTGATTCACAATGCACCTGCAATAGTACATGTATGCCCATGTTAGAAAAATGCTAAAAATATTGTCTCCATAGGCAATATTAAAGAAAACACGTTAGTATTGCCTTATTAAAGAAAAAAAAAATACGTCAGTGATGGGAGCTACAGAAAGAGATGTGAGGGAGTAATATCCAAGGTTTAAGTAAATAGACTCAAAATGATGTAAAGTCAGATTGAATAAGGCACAGTGAGCAGGTTAGGCTCAGCTGCTATACACTAAACTAGGAAGCAGCCGGAAGATAAAAAGGAATAGATACAAAAGCCAGATGAAAGAGAACATCCTGCTTTGTTTCAACTCATTATGCAAAGGAGTACAGGGCACACTGCAGTCTACATTTTGACTCATAAGAAACAAGGAAATGAGCAAGTTATCAAACAGGCATGAGCTGTACAATGATAATAAGCAAACCAGTAAAGCTGCTACCACCAAAATTGCATCCAAGAAGCTATAGACAGGAAGCTATTACAATTATGGAAGGTATTACAAATTAATTATGTGATTTGTGGCTAAAACAGGGTTGATGACACCCCAGTGTTTTTTGCTATTGCTGAGCAGTGCATGTACAATATTATGAGCTTCTCTTTCTTCTGACTCAGCCTCAGTGAGTAGGCTGGGGTGGGCAAGAGGGAGGGGACACAGATGGAAGAGCTGTCTCAGAGTGGCCAAAGAGATACTCCATGCTATATGATGTCATGGTCAGGCATAGAGACTGACGTAGAGGAAGCAGGAATGTGAGGTTGAGTGGATGCAAGTTTGCTTCCAAGGAGGCTATTGCTCAGAAACTGGCAGGGCATTAATCTCCTTGTGGGAGGACATGAGTATTTGGGGGTTTTCTGTGATATTCATGTGTTATTCTTCTGAGTCTTCTGCTTGACTCAAAAGTTTTCTTATGTCTGCTTTTGCTATTCTCTCCCCTGTCCACAGGCGGGGAGTGGGTCTGGGTGAGTAGCTGGGCTGGATGCTGACTGGGGCCAACACTTCAGTGCTTTTTTGTCTCACAGCTGGTCCTGTGCGACCAGCCCTGGGTCAGTCGGTTCAGGTGCATTGGACATCCCTACACTGAAAGTAAACTGTGGCCTGCACTCTGCTGCTAAAGGAGTCAAGAATAATGTTTCGGCAATATCAGCTGTAGCATTCACTCTGCCACATTTGTTTGCCATTCGTACTGGAGCAGTAGGATAATTGATACAGCAGCCCAGCCCCCAGTGGTGGCATGACTTTGTTCAGCCCAGAATAGTCCTCTTTCACCCTCTGTCAGACTTTCACACTGGTCATACGTGACTTCTGAAAGGTGACTGAAGCTTGCTGATCACTCCTTGGCTCTCCAATAGATGAATCAATAGTTGCAGGCCGAAAAAAACCCTCAAGCTGCACATTGGGTGCCAAAAAGGACTGTGGGTGGACCCCAGCTGGCTGCCAAACCCATAAACATTGTCACTACTTAAAAGGTCAAAAGTTCTGAACCAAGGTATTTTGATGGACCTCACACGACAGGTTTTACCTGTTTAGAGTTTATTTTGGACTATTTAACTGGAGTAAAGAGTAAGTCTCACAATAAGATCTTTCCTAAGTGCATAGCTAGCCTCCAGTGTAAGCTCTCTTATTTAGCTTCATCTAACTAGTCAGTAAAATATAGAGGAGTCTAGAATGAAAACTGTTCCAGCTGTTAATGGGACTTTTTACAGCTGCAGTCCTTAAGGTCTCAGTTCACTCAGGCTAAGGAATTCCAGTCAAAATTTTGGGAAAATCTGTCCAGACACAGTCACCTATTAATCCTGAATTATCCAGCAAAGAACAAAAACTTGAAGAGGAGCACTCAGCTTCAGTGATAGAATTGTTGAATTCTATCTTTTACTCTTTTTTTAAGCAACTGTGTTAATTCAATAAGATTTGAAACTGAGGGAAAACTGAGTGCTACTAGTGCTTAGGAAAAGCTGAGAGAGATAAGTATACATACATAAAAGTCTGAGGGTGGTAATATGTCAAGAATAATAAAATATTATAGTTGAACCAGAACAGAAACTCTGCTGAAGAGAAATACTACATATATGTACTGAAAATGATGTGTACCTTTCTGATAGCCAATATATATTCACTAATTCCTGTGCTGGAGTTAAAAGGAAATACTGTTCTGTGTCTCTTAATTCATCATGCTGTATGGCTAACTGCATTTGCTTCTATGATATTATTAATTATGATAAGCATGTTCTACTACAGAGTTAAAATAATCACAGTTATAAGCAAATGCAAGCCTGCACCTGAGTGAACCACTGGGGATGGTCTCTCCACTGCTGCTCTAGCTGGAATACTGCAACTGTGTGTGCTGTGTGAGGCTGTAACTGTGTATACTGTGCAGTTTTCCACTCTTACCATGATATCATTGCAATAAATATTGTGCTACCTTCCTGGCTTAATCCCCTATCAGTATCAGATGTTATTACAAACTATTATGTGTTGTAACAAGTTTTTATTATTTTATTGCCATAAGAACCTAATAATTAGAAGATGTTGTGATTAATACTGATAGTGAACCATGTCTCCACAAGCCTTGGTTATAGAAATAGATATTGACAACACTATGCATGCATAACACTCTGTTACAGGCTCCACAGATTCTCACATTCTTACATTTCTGATAATTCTACTGGCAGTCTTTAAATAAAAAAAGAGAAATGCCTGTCTTTAAGATCACTGTTCAAAGCTACTGGACTAAAAGTCACATTGCAGCCCCACATAGCTTTGTCATTGTCCATGAGAAGCACTTTTCCATCTCATTGCACTACTCCTACACTTTTCCATCCTAAGGACAATGGGGGCTCTATTCATCACACTAGAAATCTTTTACTCGTGAGTGCACTCATTTTAGATGGTTTATTAAGAATCTCATGAGTCACACTTGACTAAGATTTTGCCTCTTGGCCCAAATGTATGTGATTCAAGTGCAGATTACTGATTTCTTCTTGCAAAAATGAGTAACATTTCTTCTTCTATTTGAGGGTATTAACAAGAAACCATGATGAGCAGATCACTATCTGTCTTGTTAGCCAACAAATGGGTTCTCTGAAGGAATTTTTGATTTTAATTCTTTTTAGAAACCTGAACTGATGAATAGGTGTCTACAGGCAACCGTTACAGCTCTTCTTCCCAGATGTTTCCCCAAATTTGGAGGCATCAAGACACTAATTCTTTCCCTATGAATCTTTTCCACAGAAAAGGCATGTATTTTTATTTGAAAAAAAAAAAGTATTAAATATATTTTAGAAGGATACAATATGACCATAAAACTTTACATCATACAAGGAGGGGACTAATAGTTGCCTTATAAATTTCCTAAGCTTTGTTGCTTTCTCCTTCTGTGTAGAGTCAAGGAATATTAGTGGCAGGTAAGCAACTCAGCAGAACTTAAACAAAGGACCCACTTAGATTTTCCAGGCCCAGTACGCAGATCATTACTTCACTAGTATAGCTTGTACCTTTGGAAGATCATTTCAGAAAGACTTCAATTTACCAGAATCGGTAAATTAATCCTTTCTGGTTTAGAAGAAAGGTTAGCAATGTTAGAAATACTAGGCTGGGAATTTCAGGTTTTCAGGGTTTTATATTCACTGTTATGAAGTTCTGAAACTATCTGATTCTAGATAGCTCTAATTTTGCCTGCTGTAACTGGAAAGATTGTCTTTTCAGTTCCCCTGAATAATAAACTCACACCCTAATAAAAATTATTATTATGTACATTTCCTTAGATTTGCATTTCCTTTAGGTTACAATGTACATTTAAGATATCGTATAAAGGAATTAAATAAATTTTCTTCATGTGCTCACAATGTCTTATCATTTATATCTGGAGAAGAGCCAACAAAATCAAGCTTTCATCACAAAAACATGTTTACAAATCAGCTGGCTACCTGTATTTCTATCCACAAGGCATTACTCCTGATCTATAGTCATCTAATGATACAGGATTCAACCTGAACATATGACAGGAAGTGCTTCCTTTTTATTTCTTCTTCATAATAAATCATACGTGCATCTTTTACAGCTTTATTACTTCCCAGAAGTTTATGACTGATGGCGTCATTGTTTTTTACAAATGTTCTAACCTTTGTAACCTGATTCTTCTAGACCTGATAAACACTCATCCAGATTTTCTAGCCCTTGTCCAAGAATCTGTACCAAATGAAAACTACTTTGTGTCTCCCTGCATTTTATGTAAGCATAATACAGGATGTATAGCCATCTTTCATGTATTAATTGAAAGTCAGATATTTTATCTATAGATTGAAAGATGTACTCATACATACAAGTCAGGTAAAAAAATATGGAGATTTTGTTTTCCTGAAGAAAATAATAAAGATCAGCTGAAAGTAAAAGGAAGTAAACAACCTGTCACCAAAACAGTAATAGCAGGATGCATTTAAATGCCCTATTTCTACAGCTATATTTGACACACAGTCTCTCACACATATTTTTTTGTTTTGTTTTGATCATGATTGTATACCTGTTTGAAGTCAGGATCTTCATGGTTGCGTGTTTTCATGTTGCACCTTTCCACTGAAGGATAATCTGGCTCCGAACAGGATGCTTTTAAGACCTGTGTTTACACCCAGATTTGTTAATTTTATAATTTAGTTTGGTAGTTTTTTCTTCATATTTTGATTTTTTAGCTCATCAAATGTGTTCTGAAGAAAAGTATATTTTTATAAAGTTCATTAATTATTATATTCAAATTATCAAAGATTAGTAAGTTGATAAGTTTCTGAAACACTTCCATAAATATATTCCTCTTTTAACGTTTGCAACACAAAATGAATTGGGTTGAAAGCAAATACTGAAGACAGACCTTCAAACTGTTTAATGCCCAGATTCTATTTTGCAATGCAGCACAGACTGAACCATGTTGTATAAGGATACCAATATCTTATCACAGATAAAAAACCTTGTTGACTTCCGTATCAGAATTCCCATTGAAATTAAGGAAATTATTTCTATTCTTGTGTAAAAAGAAAGATCCATAATCTTTCCAAGGTTTTTACATATTTGAGAGATACCATCTTCCCTCATTTTCAGAGAAGAATTACTTTCAATGATGTCAAGAAACATAATCAGTTATGACCTCGAACTTTAAAATAGGATCATTGGTAAGTTAAATCCATTAGGGGTCAGAACTCAATTCTTTCTCTGATTTGGTGGAACATGCCTCAAACAATTAATTTATGAAAAGTTAATCTCTTAACCAGAAAAAAATCATTTTACTATAATTGCTCTTTCAAGGACAGAAAGGAAAATTCCAGTGGGATAATACTTTATAAATATAATTTATGTACCTTACAGCATACATTTCCCCAAATAATTTCATGAAACAGATTTTACAGAAAGTCATCTATGAGTTAAAAAACAAACAAAAAACATCCAAGACTTTTAAAGGAAGCACTTGGTGATTTACACCATCATGAATGACCAGTATTAGATGAAGGGTCATTCTTTATCTCAACTCAGCCTGTGTAAACACAGCCTCTTGGACCTTTGCCCTGTTTTAGAGGGTAGATTGCAACATAGCATTCCTCAGACAGATTTTGGTAATGGTTATAATCCCTCAATAAGGAAGACTATCCTTGCCTTCTCTTCTGACCATAAACAAATTTTCACAACACTGGAGAAAATGCTCAGACAACAGGTGGTTTATACTCTGCCTCAGCTCAGTATTTTCTTTTCATCACATTCCTCATCTTAGAGCGTGGGTTGATTAGGAGGAGATAATTCCCTTCTTAAACTCTTCTCTTTCCAAGGCAAGATTCCTGATTTCTCCTCCCCTCTTATTTCCTGCGTGTTTTCTGGTTAAGAAGTCCCCTCTTCTTCCACAGAGACTGGACCCTAACAACCCCAACTGTTTCCTAAACCAGAGATTTTTGCAATAACCTTCTTGGACTATTTCCCCAGAAAGAATAAAGGGGAGTAGTTGGAAGTTGTGGAATGTGGAAGGTGGTAAGTAAAGTGAATTCTAAAAAGTCTGTGGGGGAAATTGTCCTGTAGTAAGAAAGAGCATTCAATAGTTATAGAGGAAATAAATAACTTCTTACCTTCAGAGAGAGGTGCTTCTTACCGTTGCACAATAGGACAAATTCATTAAGCTTTGATCTCTGAGTAAGGCTCACCAAATTTTTAGAATCTGTTTTACACAGAGAAGAATATTGTAATAATATGAGTATCACTTTGTAAAATGAAGCACAGAAGAATATACTTTACAAAGAGAAAACATTCAGGTTCACTTTATGTTGATAAGCACAGGCATAGAAATAAATATAATCACTCTTGATACCATTCTCCTGTGTAAAATATTTAAAGCCTGTGACTTTATGAGGCTTTAAATATGCCATATATACACCCTAGTTCTCTACATTTATAGTTAACTTATGGAATATCAGCTATACATTAATATATATAAAACTAACTACAAAGACACATATAGTAGTAGTTAACACATATGTGTAATATACATGTTTATGGGATATACATGACTATATATATGTTGTAATGGAAAATGTAGGATTTTTTTCTCTTTTATTTTCTGCTTGCTTTCTAGATCAAAATCCTTCTACTATTGTAACTGCAGATGCATTGCTTTAACTCTTCTTGAGATAATACTGTTTATTCTCCTGCAGAAAGTAAGACTTTATCAATAATATGTTTCTCAGCTTGATAAACTGATAATGTTTGTTACCTTCTGGTACTGCAAGGCCTCAGCAAAAAATAAATACATTAAGTACTCTTTGCCAATATAAAGCATTACCTATTACAACCTATTACCTATTGCAAACCCATTACATCAATGACTATCCAGTGATGCTATACCTATCTGACTGACTTGCGAATTTACTTCAAATAATACCACTTATGCTTTTAAACTATCTCAGGTGTACCACTTGAGACAAAAAATCGTAAAAGAGAGTAGCAGTTGATCTAAATGTTACTCACTGTAGCAACTGAACACAGATTTTACAGAGGTTGGGAATTTATTCATTAATAGCTGCAGTTAGGAATACTTTTTTTTCACATTACCAAAGGTATTTTTTAGACTGTGAAGGATATTCCAAATCAGCAGGATACATTCATTCCACCTGACTCATTTTAGCTGCTCTAATCCTGGCCCTGATTTTAGCTGGCCCAACTTTCCCCAACTGTATTGATTTTGTGTTAGTGTTCTGAAGGAATTTTGTCTGAGACAGTTACAGCATGAAGGTATCATAAAAATCCATGTTGAAAACTGAGACAAATTCTCCAACCTAAACTGAGTATGTTTTAATCTGCTTACATGTGCATCCAGATAAATATAGTAGACTGGAGGTCTACCATTCTGTAATTTTTGTTGCTTTTCGTGACATCAGTTTAGATTTTAATTACAGTTACAGCTGCAATTTCAGCCGTAATGTGTAAGAAACATATCAGCAGGCAAGAGAGATTTCTTATCCAAGCCAAGGGTGTTCTGACTTAGAGGTGAGAGTGACAACAAAAGAGATATGCTGGAGTCCATCCAGTTGACCAGGGTCATAAGACAACATGAGTTACATCCTAACTATCCTTGGTTTTCCTCTTCTATGGAGTTTATTGTGACTTGGTTTATACATTGTTTAGTCTGAGTAAACCCAGAGTCCAATTTTCTCTATTACATCTGAAAGACGTGACAAGTGGTCTACCAACAGCCAGCAAATGCCAAGGAAAGTAGGAAACCTTTCCATGATTTTATGTACTTCTACTTTCTGATGGTCTTTTAATTAATTACCCAGTCTTTCTGGTTACTAAAACCTTACCAGAGTCTAAGGGTTGATTTTAAAATCCATTCAAAGAGAATGCCTTGAAATTAATGAAATCCAATATTTTCTTGCTTGTAATGTCCCAAAAATGCAGTGTTGGGAACTGGGAGGATATCAGTATTTTATACTGTTCCCCAGAAAACTTCATTTGGCCTTTGTTCAGGGTGCAGTACAGGACCAGATGGTTATTTGTTCTCATTGATTACAGCAGCCTTTGATAGCTGGAATTGGAACATATTTTTCTTCCACTGTAGTACCTGGAAGTAATATGTCTTTAATTTTCCCCATTGTTTCTTATGCATACAAAATGAAAGTTCCAAAAGTGTGCCTCCTCTTTCTCATATCAATTTCTTTTTGTTTTTCCTCTCCTGGTACAACAGGTTTTTGCTAGCTAAGACCCATATGCCAGCAATAGAACACCCACACTTTCCTATAAAAAAAATTGGATCTTGTAGCTTAATACAATATATCCTCTTACATACATTTGTGTTCAGTCCAAGCCACTACTCCTAATTTGCTAAGGTAAATTTTGTGAATTTGAAGATTTCTTCTTATGGAACACTGAAAGGCTGTTTCATTTTTAGAATTCTCCAGTAACCTGATCTAACTGAAAAATCTGGTGCGATACGGTACTTCTAATGTCAAGTTTACATATAAAACATTATAAACTTCTTTTCCTACTCTCAAACATATCTTCAAAACTACACCCTAACAAACAGAATGATACCCGTTATTTCAGGGGAGATTTACCATTAACTTCTGATTCATTCCTCGTAAACACGCTTAACCACGCAATGTCTAAAATAGAAAATATTTAAAAATATGTGGAATTAGATACATTCTTGAAATTTAAAAAAGTTACAAACAATTTAAAGAATTGTTCTAAAGCACAATCTGAGAAAGAGCATGTAATAGCAATAAGTATCAGACTTCTTCTCTTGTGGATCTCTGAATTCATTTAACCCTCGAAGGCTGTAGAGTTAGACTTGTTAGCAGGTACCCGGAAGTCTGAGCTCTGAATCTAATAAATGTATTGATTGATTAATTATCGTTTGTAAAAGCGAATGCACCTAAAAACTAGAGAAGAGTAATCAGATGTAAGGCCTAAAATCCTATTAGAGGGGAGCTTGAAAGTGCTTTGGCAGCAGAAGTGAGCACCCTAATAAGAAATGTACAAGCCTGGAAGGTAATAGGTAGTGACAGCAGGTGGTTTAAGGCTTTTGTAACACTGGTCTGAATCACCCAAACAGTCAGCTGGGAGAGGCATCACCCACTTCAGGTCAAAGTCACAAACATCCAGGTTACAAATGGTTCCTAATATTACATTTTCTTAACTGTGTCATGATGAATATGTGTTTGTGGTGCTTATGTGTTTATACACACAATAATATTACACGGCATTTCTTTTCTGTCTGCTTGTTTTTCTTCTAGAAATATCTTATACATTAGGATTATCAGATGATGTATTTATTCACGAACTGCTTCCATTATATACCTATACAGGCTTTGGTTACGTTCATAAATTAACAATATGATTGTATGAGTTACCTCAAAATTCTATTATGTTATCAAGAAGAAACTTAAAAAGATACAAATCACACTAAATACCTTATCAATGCAGCAGTCATTATTTACAACTTAATAGAAAAAAAATAACATAAATTGAGTTTATAAATATATCAAATGAGTGTTACATTTCTTTATCTGAAGCATATATAATTAACTTCTCATTCTGTAAAAACCAGGTGTTTGTAAGAAATAGTTTCAATAATTTGATAGCTAACTTACAGATTTCAACTTCTTCTTGTATTTTGGTTGGAAACATGGTTTATTGGGTTTCCCCCCCCCCTACTTTCACATGTCTGGAAAGTGTATCATTCTCAAATAATTGCATTTGATATTATTTGGCTTTTCTCTACCAAAAGAACACCCTCTAACAGGCACTTGCAGCATGTTAGTTATGATAACATGTTTGGTGTCAAATAGAGAAGCCCCATTTGAAACAAAAGAGTTATTTGAGACAAAATAACCCCACAAATTCCAAAATATGTTCTGTTTTTCTCTGTTTTGCCCTTGTCTCTGAGAATTATCTTTACTTTCTCTCTCTTTAGAGCTAAATCTCTAGACTTCCCATTAAGTCAAGTGAGCATGAACAATATAATCTTCTAATCATTCAAGTATATTACCTACTGTAAACCAGGATAAAAATTTTCTTGTATCACTATCAATATTCATAAAGATGCAATATAATGTTAAGTCTACAAAAAATGTAGACTTATAGAATCACATAGGTTGCAAAAGACCCTTATGATCATCAAATGCAAACACTGATCTGACACTGCCAAATTCACCATGTTCCTAATCACTGTATCTACACACTAAATCCCTTGAGGGGTGGTGACTCAATCATTTCCTGATCAGCCTTTCCCAAAGCTTGGCAGCACTTTCATTGGAGAAAATTTTCCTAACATCTAAGGCTAAACCTCCCCTGACACAGTCTGAGGCCATTTCCTCTCATCCTGTCTCTTGCTCTCTGGGAGAAGAGGCTGACCCCACAGCTCACCACACCCTCCTCCCATGTAGTTGTAGAGAGGAACAAGGTCTCCCTTGAGGCTCTTTTTCTCTGGGCTAAACATCCCTAGCTCCCTTAGTCGCTCCTCACAGGACCTGGGCTCCAGACCCTTCACCAGCTCCATTGCCCTTCTCTGGACACACTCCAGCACCACAATGTCTTTTTTACAGTGAGGTACCAGGAGCTGGACACAGTACATAAAATAGTACATTTAAAAATGTCTTGAGTACTACACATATAGTTGGTGAGTTTTGGTATATAAAGCACATTACCTTCATGGGACTGTGAATCCTTGATTGATATTTCAGGATGACCGTCTTCATCTATGTCAAAATGCACTGTTTTTGAATCTTCAGTTAGTATATAACATTTCACTGTTTGTCGCAGACTAAACACTAAGCAAAAATGAATTGTAATTAATTTTGCTAGCAACAGAGAAATGGTAAAATTCCATAACAGAAAGATGAAGTGTATTTTTCTAGCAATAATTACTTGATAATCTATGTATATTTTAACTGTGGGCATAACAGCCATATATATTAGAAGTCCTACGGTGGGCTTAAGCAGCCAGTTTGGGGGATTGATGGTGGTGTGAAGAAAGGAAACAAATATTTCTTTGTTTAGAAGGCTATCTCAGTGAAGAAGAAAAGACATATGCCAGCCTTTCTGGAGAGTTAACATGTGTGAAAACTTGAGCTTGAAAAAATGGCTTCCAACCCAAGAGCCTGAGAGACAGTTAGTATAAGAAGGAGGGATTGTGGACAACCTGTCCATAGCTACCTTCAAAAAGACTAGTGGGGACAGCATGGTTTTAAAAATGAGAGAGCCCACATTACCAGTTGGCTGGTGAATGAATAGACTTACAGTAGGGAATAGAGCCCAGTGGGAAGTCGGAGCCAGAGCAAGATTTCGCGCAGAAGCCTTTAAATGGAGAGACGTAAGAAAAAAACTTATAAGTCTTCATTCTGAAGAAAAGCAGAAGTAAAGCAGAGAATGGTTCTCTGCAGCATACTGTTTCCAAACCAGTTTCCTTTATTTCATAAGTAAGTACTTGCCTGCTTCCCAATCTTGAACTTCAAAAATTGAATCTGTGTACAAACAAGAATTTTAGGTTAAAGTGAATATGGCTACCAAAATAGCAGCATTTATTTTGGGAACCAGACATCTCTTAGTGAAAAAAATGCAGGTATTTTTGCCTAAAAGCTACCAGGAGGGAAACTATTTCCTATTGCTACTGAACGCAACTGTGCTCTTCTGGATGTCAGAAGGATGTAGGTCCAGAAGCTTGAATATCAGACATCTACGGAATAACACCACAGGACACCATTTTCATTACATTTAGCTGAACACTGTTTACTGGAAGAGATTTGCTACACTGAAATCCAGTTAAGAAATTTCTGAGATCACACAGACCTCCAGGGTATGCTGCAAGATAAAAGTCCTTTCTTTGCCAGAACAATTAGGCTAGAAAAACAACAGGATACACAGAATGCACCAGCAGTGGCATAATGTTTTAGGAATGTGTGGCTTCACCAAAAACTGTTACTTATTTTATATTGAGGTACCTCCTCTAAAACATCTGTATTTAAGCAGATATTTTGAAAAAATACTGTTGTTTCCAAGAACCTTTCTTCCTACCCTGTTTAGGCTGAGCAGAAACTCTGCACGCACAATAAAAGCCCAAATCATACCCTCCAGAAATGGCAGGTCTGACATATTCTGTGTTGGACCATTAGCACATGCATAACTGATTTATTCCTGGGCAAAGGCTTTATCTTCAAAGGTAACTGGTTATCAGGCTTCCAGGAAAAAACAAAGGTTGTTCTACAAACCAAAAGGTCAACAACTACAATAATCAATACAGCAAACCTTTTAACAATTACTATATTGTGGTAGATATAGTGTAGGAATTCTATATCTGACTAGAATTATAAGAACTAGTACAGTGCCCAAACAAAAATGGTTGGCAAGCCTGCTTATAGCATTCACTCTTTTCCAGGGAGCTACAGATATACCTTAGGAATTACTTATCTGAATTCAGTGGTGTGAAAAATCTAACACTATATTTTAAGGAGTATTTCTCTTCCAATCATTTTAAAGGCAGGTTTTGGGTTTTAGTTCCACAAGTATTTTTACTGTTTGATGGCACTATAGATAAACTTAATTTTGTTGGATTCTGCCTTGGATTGGAATAATCTTTGCAAGATTACCAACATATCTGCCACTCAGATAAGAGTTACCTGAATTTCCAGGAAGTGTTTTCATTTTTCTAAGCACAGGTTGCTTCTTAAGAGACTGCCTTCGATGGCGGGACACTTCATATGGCTTTTTATGGCCTGAGCGGAGCAGCATTGTGGGAGCATCTGAGAAATACCGATAACCTCAGGTGACTTTCTTTTCCAGTCCTAAAGGAGGAGTTAGAATTTGTCACAAGACTTCATGTTTCTGTTGAGCCACAAGTTTGCAAATAAAAATTTGATAAATGAGAGTTAAAGGAAACAGATAAACTCAATAAATGTTTCAGTGCTTGCATGACCCAAGCATGTGTCTTGCAAGGCAAAACTGGTGTGTTTCCAGTGATAGTAAATAACAGTAATGTCTATACTTCCACTAAGATGCAGGTTATCATGGATAACACAGTCATGTTGAAGGAATATATTTTAAAAGAGTTTCCCATTAAATAAGATATAAGTAGTTTATGTGACTTCAGTGTCTTTATGCTTGTCAGTCATACGAAGGTAGCTACATTTTGCTGGATTGAAAAAAGTACATTCATTTTGTTCTTCAGAATACAGTCCAAGATAATTTTCAAAGTATTCATAAGGTATTGAAGATGATGCTACATAGAATAACACAGCATAATCTGATACTCAGTAAAGACATGCAGCCATATTTCAATCTTAAACTGAAGTTCAGGAAATTTTGCCTCAGGAATGAGGACAGGAATTTGGAAATTTGAGGAATATATTATAATATTAAGGGTTATCAGTTAGCTTAGATATCCAAAGGAGAAATCAATGTCTAAGAATGGGAACTACATTGATGGAGGAACCCCACAGGCAGCTAATAAGGTATCTTCTTGTTACAAGTTAAATCACGCATTTCAGAAAACCTAAGGACCTCATTTTGGCTTGAAGAAAGGGAAACTGAAATTCTGAATTCTACACACTCTACCAAAATCAACTGTTTATGACTACTGCTTATGGTAAGTGCAGACCAAAGAAAACTAGCTTCAATTCTGTCTAGTATCCTGGTGAATGGACAAAGTGAAGATGGGTACAATTCCTATCGCTGTGCAGCTTTGCACAGAATAACTAAGTATCTGTTATGCCACAAGGGTCATGGCCCTGACACAAGTGTAATGACGTGTGAATTCATCCAGGGAAGGCGAGGGAAGTTCTGTTTTCTGACTTGGTTTAGTTTCCTGATGCAAAGTTTCACATTAAATATTTACATGAAATACTACAAATGAAAGACTTCCGTCCCTGGCAATTCTCTTGTTACTAAATACAAAGGGTAACTGAGTCCCTTTTTCACTCTCTTTGACACTTTAGTTATAACAACATTCAGTAAAGTCTCTGAAAAGTGAAACATTTATTATAAGGAATGAACTTGCTCTTCCTAGTGAAGATGTCTCATTTTTCAAATGTCTGATAACTTGCAGTTAGAGGTAGAAATAAAAGGCTGTCTTCCTTATCCAGCTAAAATTGTTCTGAACATTCAAACAAAACAAAAAAAAAAAACACCAAAAAACCCCGAACCACTCTTTGCAGTTTTTCAGTAAGTTCTAACTGCAACCTGGTCTCTGGAAACATCTACTTGAATAGGGCTCTGCGGTGTAAGTGGGCACTAATACTAGCTTGGGGATCTTGAGAGATATTATTGTGCTAGGTGCTCAATGTTAACAAAGCATTAAGACTTTGCTAGATCTATGAGGCTAAAAACTAGACACTTGATCCCTTACTGAAGATTATGAAAACAAAGCGGAATTCTAGTTTGGCTGCTGTTGATCAGAAGTTCTGAAGATCCTGATTTCTGATTTTTATCTACATTCATAGTCTTGAGGCTGTGTTGCTGACACTTAGCACTGTAAGAAAAGAAGGACAATGATGACAAGTCAAGACTGAAGAATTCCTGAAGAGGGCAGAACAGTTCAAAGACATTTTCAGAAGCATATTTAGGAAGTGGATAAATTCTTAGGAAATGTTCTGTGATGAATGATGGACAGTAATCTTGAAGTTCTGAAGGACTGTATTGAAGTTTAATTATTTTGGCTTGTTTAAACAAGTAGGAGATTGAAAAGTCTATTGTAGAACTTCACCTCTGTTAGCTCTAGAGAACAATTAAAGATCTCTATAATAAATAACAGAAGCTTCCACAGCTTGAATTGCCTCACATGTCCCTGAAGACTAAATGACATAAATATTCTTATTTCAATAAGCCTTTCCCCCCATGAAATGTTCTTCCATAGATGTTACCTACTCCTACTTCTTTCATTTAGTCATAGTTTTTAAAGCTGTGTATATCTCCCTATGTTGATTTCTTTATTTTAATGTCTTTCATGCCTATTTCTTCAGCTCTTTTCTTTCTTATGTAAGGTATATATGCTTGAAGAGGAGTAGGAAGATCTGGATACTGTTCTTGGCTGCAGACATGTCTGTCTACCATTATTGTGGAAACTTGGATCTGTTTTGTTTCATTTTGCATCTAAGTACAACGCAGTTAATACCCTCTAAATTGCTGAAACCAAATATAAGAGTACATTTGTTGCCAATGGCAACAAGATCACCCTAAAAGCAGAGAGAATTTTAATTATTTTCCTACTACACAGACCGTATAAATACATTTATATGAAACCAACAAAGAAAATCTGTTATATAGCTGCTCTTACCCCCTTAGTGTTCTTAGTCATCATTCTCTCTTTCACTTAACCCCAAGACACATCTGATCATAAAATTAAATCAAATTCAGTACATGAAAACAACATTTAAAATTTTGGAATTCGTTTGCACAGTGGTGTGTTCCAAATATTATTTCATGCTGTATTGGTATATTCATAACAAGATATGTCTAAGATTAGAACTGTTTTTGTTGAGGGTATTGGATTGCAGCTGTTAGTCCTGCTAACAAAGATTGTAAGTAACTCGTCCAGGTTTGTTCCAATTTAATATGGATTAAAAAGAACTTTTGGTATCCTATAGCTAATAAATAGTGAGGTCATAGTCTCTTTCGAATCAGATATCACAAAATCTATAAACTACATACAGGAATATCTAAAAACAAACATAAACTAGACAAAGATTTCAGAAGAAAATTTTACACTAAACAAGCAGTCTGATAACATAGTCTTAAATTGAAGCCTATTTAATCCTGCTGTAATTTCCCATTCTTGCTTACCTTATTTTGCCTGTTATTGTCTCTGCTGGGATACTTCTACTCAACAGAGTGCTAGAAGCAGCTCTGTTACAGCGAATTTATTGCCTGAACACAGGGCAGGAAGCCAAACCTCTGAATAAAAGAAAAGTCTGACGTGGACCTAATCTTCTAGATCTCCAAATACTCTCATTTATATCAACATTCTAATGGCTCTAATTGCTCCTGGAATTCCAGGAGTGTTGGAAACAGTAAGAACAAACTTTTAAATGTCTATTTCTTTAACATACCGCAGAACCTTTACAGTCTGGAACTGCATGCAAATTTTTAGCCTGGAGTTCTGTGAAATGCTTGAGTATACAAATAAATTATATTCTCACATTTTGTGTCACTAATGTTGTTCTTGCTATCCGTCATTCTTTCAGAGTTGATTCACATGCGAATAGTGGGTTTATAGTAATATAGACATATTAAAAGTAGGAGTGTAGCCTCTGTTGCAGGGAGCTCAAAGCAAGCTAAGTGCTTAAACATTTACACAGCTATCAAATGGGCTTTGCATCAATGGCAATCCTTGGATCTTGTGACATGAGTGAACTTGTTACAGCAGATGTGCTACATTTCTTTGCCCATGAAGCCCAGGTAGTAACTAGGTCTTTCCTTATCAAATTCAGTATGTTCAGTTGGCTTTATCTATCCACGTATATACATTCCTAAGCATTTGCTCACTTATTGGTGAGGCCTCTCTATTCATACTAACTCATTTTTTTTTCTTTTTTAATTAGTGAGCCTTGCATTTCTAAAGAAGTGAAACACACTTTTATTTACCTCACTGAAATAATGAAATTCCTCCAAAACCAATATTAACTTGTTTTCTTTTTTACCCCAGAGTTTTCTTAAAATCAAGGAGCTACTGCTTTTATCTGGAATTTCTACATCATGTCAAGAAAGTTCTATATTTCACCTGTGTTTGATCTGGGAAAAGTCTTTTTTAGATTATTAAGCCCTAGTAGGTGGTATAATGCTGTGTTTTAGATTTAGGACGAGAATAGTGTTGATAACACACTAGTGTCTAGTTGTTGCTAAGCTGTGTAAGTGGTAAGCACTAAGACAAGGACATTCCTCCTCCTCACACCACAGCACCAGTGAGAAGGCTGGGAGTACAAGAAGATGGGAGGAGATACTGCTGGGACGGCTGACCCTGACTGACCAAAGGGATATTCCAATCTATATGGGGCAAAGCTCAGTAATATAAACTAAGGGAAAAGCTGGCTGAGGGTCACTGCTTGGGAACTGGCTGGGCCCCAGGTAGCAGGTGGCTAGCAGTTGCATTATGCATCACTTGTTTTGTATATTTTAATTATTTCATAATAGTTATTTTTATTTTCCCTTCTTTTTCTGACCTTTTAAACTTTTGTCTTTATCTCAGCTGGTGAACTTTACTTTTTTTCCCCTGAATTCTCTTCCCCACCCTGGGGTGGCGATGAGGCAGTGAGCAAGTAGCTTGTGTGGTGTTTAGCTGCCTGCTGAATTAATCCCCAACAGTCCCTTTTGGCACCCAACCCATAGGGTGTGAAGGGCTGAGATAACGAAAGATGTCATGAGAGCATATTAAAACAATTTTTTTTTTTAATAAGCAATTCATTGCATTGGTTTAATAGTCACTGCTCACAATATTGATTTACTTGATCTCAGTGTCATGTGTGTTCTCATTATATTATATTATTATATTATATATATTATATATATATTATATATTATTATATTACATTATCTCATTATATAACATCTTACTTGTAGTGTATGTTCCCTGTTGTGCTATTTATCACCTGGGGTTAAGGTTATAACGTTGTTGTACTTTGTAACACAGGTTAATGATATGTTGAAATTCCTGTCATCAGGACTGCAGCGTTCATGCACCCGGCATCATCATCATGTCTGCATGGTGGGAGCCGCCTTGCTGGAAAGAGCCTGTAATTGCA